CGTGGGTGTATATTAGGGGAAAAGGTTCAATAAAGGATCCAGACAAGGTAATGAAGATAAGCCTAATTTTCTAGGTTTTATTTACAACGTACTCATGAATGATCTATATTTTTCAATCATACTTGTATCAACTGAAATTGCTCTTTATTTTTCAATTTTAAGGAGGAGAAATTAAGAGGAAGACCAGGCTATGAGCATCTCAATGAACCCCTGCACATTTTGATTGAGGCTGACTTACCTGCCAATGTTGTTGAAATAAGGCTCAGGCAGGCTCAGGAAATTATTGAAGAACTTCTCAAGCCTGTGGTATGCTCATTCACCCTATATCTTTATCTGTTATGCAGAGTGTACTAACTGTTGTTCAACTCCACTTTTCCGAAAACAGAGAGCATAAAGAGACCTTTTATCTCTTTTGTTCTTAACTTCTAATTTGGATAGTTAATTTGTTTGCATATCCCGCCATTTACTTGTTTTGATGTGATGAAGGTATAGATGCCAGATTTTAGTAAAGTAGGTGATTTGATAAAAAATAATTTTTGAAAAAAGTATTTTATGTAGACTATTGTATCACTTCTCATTTATACGCAACCATATTAGTTGATTATCACAATTTGAAAAAAAAGGGATTCATGTGATCTTACAAAAAAGTCAGCTCCGTGTCTTTGTAGTGTTTATGTCAACATACATTCTCCTCATAAACAACAACTACAACAAAGCCTTATCCCACTGTGCGGGATTGCATATATGTATCACACATTCAGCTCAATTAAAGTACATGATCCTGTATTATACTGCGCGTTTGTCTCGAAATCATACACAACCCCCTCCCTTATCTGGGCTTGCAAATGGCTGAGACCATAGGTGAAGTTTCTTTCTCCTACCCTTATAAACATGTCGCAGAAAAATGGTTGTTCAAAGTAGCAGCAGCTTGTGAGATAGGAGAAATAAGCATCTGGGGATGTAAAAACATAGTCTTTCCAATTTAAAAAAATCTGGGTAGTGTATGCAGGCATATTGGTATTGGTATTGGATATACATAGGACATTTTCCACCTTCATTTTATTCTCAAAATTGCAAGAGTAAAATCCATGTCGGTTGATGTACTAGGATTCTGTTGGAAATTTGCTTATTTACACTTTTGTTTTCCTTGTTTCCTATCAAGTATTCTATCCAAGTTACCACCGTAGATCTGTTTTTCGTCTCTTTTCTGCACACCCATTTTATTCATGGAAACAAAGAACTCTGAAGTTTTCCATGGGCTACCAGTTTGCTGATTCATCTGAGTGATTAAATTTTCATTTTATGATGGATGTCAACGTTTGACATTGGTAGGGAGGAGTCACAGGACTACATCAAGAGGCAGCAGTTGCGTGAACTTGCTATGCTGAATTCAAATTTCAGAGAAGAGAGTCCAGGGCCAAGTGGCAGTGTGTCTCCATTCAACTCCAGTGGAATGAAACGCGCAAAGACGGGTCGCTGAAAGTTGTAGTCGGTGGACGGTGTAGATGATGAGTATTGTGGTCCTCCAGCTATTGATTGCTGGGAATATCTTCCAGTACATGTCTCATTCCATGCAAGCTAAGAAAGAATAGGCTAACAATTCTTGCTGGTTAGCACTCTGGTGGTTTTTCCTCACCCTTTTTGTTCCTGAACAGACAGGAGACAAAGCTGGAATGAGGAAGTTTTAAAAGAGAAAAAAATATATAGTTGGGGGTATTGAGAATAGGTTTGTTCAGACCAACCCTTTTTTTTTTCCTTGCAAACTTAATACATTCATTGAATTTATTCTTGCGTCAGTTACTTTTGAGAAGTGTGGAATATATACATGTGATGGTTGGTGGTGAAGTTTTAGGTCCAAGACAAGTGTTTATTGGCATGTGACACTGTCAAAGTCTCATGGTGTTTTAATATTTATGATAAGCTAGCATAGGATGGATTCTTTTTAGTTGTTTGTCACAGGCATTTGGTTTCTCTTCGGAGGGCTATGCACTGTGGTTGAAATTATGCATGTCAGATAAACTTCTTACCATGTACCATTAAAAGAACAAATGTGGTATTTGTTTATATAGAATGGTACATTTAAATCTTTTGCAACGCCTTTTATTTCACCATATAAATTTCTTTTGCTGTCAAAACTCCTACACCATGGATTCTGCATTGGCCTACTGCTAAGAAATGTGGCTTTTGCACATCCTTTGAAGCTGAACTGATGGATATTTTGAAGGGTGTCAAACTTCACTTGGAGCATTGCTATCTGCCAAGTTGAGATGTTAGACAAAACCTCTGGTGCTAATCATTTGGTCACAGAGCTTAATGGGAGGTAGGTATTGCCTGTGACATCTTTTTCTTCTCTGTATTTTCTTAGCCTCTTGTATTGTTTTCATAAAATCACAAACAAAAACTTAAATATGTTTTTAGTTTTTAAATGTTGATGTAAAATTAAAATTTATTTTTGTTTCAAATTTTAATATAGTTGATTTTTAGGTTTCTAAAAATAAATAGATATAGTCTACTTTAATCTATTTGTGTTAAATTGTTTTAATGTATCAAACGACTTCAAATGATAGTGTTTCTAAAAATAAATAGATATAGTCTACTTTAATCTTTTTGTGTTAAATTGTTTTAATGTATCAAACGACTTCAAATGATAGTGTTTTAGCTGTTATTCCATTTGACATTTTCAAACGTAGTTTAACATATATAAAAAATTTAATATTATTAATTAAAAGGATTATATATATTTAATTTCAAAAATTGAGAATTAAAATGTATTAAAGTTTGAGATAGATGAATTTTAATTGTGTCCAAGTTCAAAAATTAAAAACATATTTAATTTTAAACAAAAGTTTATCTCTTAAAAAAATCCATAACTTATAAAAAAGTAAATATATGTTATGGTTTACAAAATTTTGCCATGTTTTTACATCTCGAGTTCTTACGAATAAACCAAAAATCACCCAAAACACGTTTCGGTTGCGACTAGACAGATGAATGAATCAAAGTTTGACAAAACATCTCCAGAAGAGAAGTCATATTAAGAGTTGCAAGTTTTATAAAACTTTGAATTTTGTAGAATTTTTCGTTATAATTGATGATATAACAATAAATTTAGATTTTGAGTCACAAGAATAAAAAAGAAATATTTTTTCAATATGAAAAACAAATTTTGTTTCTTAGACATATTTCATAATAACAAACATTTTTAGGTTGAAGTGTGAATAATTTATTGTTAAGAAGTCTTATAAGACAAGTTACATCAGAAAAATATATGTGTGTGATTTTTAAATTACGTTATATAATGAGATTCAGAAAATATAAATTAAAACTATACTTTATGGCTTTTACAATGAAAATAGAGTAGATATGAAAAAGAAAATGTAACTTAAAAGTAATAAAAAAAGAAAAGAACATAATACTTGAAAATAATTATGGTTGATTTAAAAGAATAAAATATAGATTACAATCATATAATTATAGTAATTATCAAAATTTCCTTTAAAAATTAAATATAAAAAATATATCGTATATTAAGCATTAATATTCTTAAAAATGGCATAATCGATAAGGTAGAATCAATAATGAATTATGTCCTGAAAAAATATAATATGAAGAATTTTGACATAATCAATTATGAAATGAATAATGTATTATCTAGACATGTGCTATAGTAATTTAGTAAATAAAAATATGCACAATCAATTAATATATATATATATATATATATATATATATATATAATCATGTAACTGTAAAAAAATAATAAATATCCTATTTGTTTACTGTCGGAGTAAAGTTTGAAGAAATATAATTATTCTTATCATACTAAATAGTTTCATCTTCTAAAATGTTAATATTCTAAGTGGCTTATCTTACATCTTTAGGATTAATTTATATGTATCCTGTTTTAGAGTGTTTTTTTGTTTCTAAAAGATATTTAGAAGGATAGAAATAATAATAAATTAATATTTGGTGAAGATTTAGAAAAATAATTTTTATTTTTTTTAGAAAGTGAGTGAAGTGATTTACATTATTTACATGCATTCACCTTAATAATAAAAAGGATATATTAGAGAGTGTATTTTTAATGTTTTAAAATAATATTTTATATGCATCTACGTAATATAAATTTAGAATTAGCGTCTTCTTTACATAAATCAAATGCATATCGCACTGATTAAGATCAAACCCCAAAACACATCACAAACTTTTAAACAGGGAATTCGACTCTCCAAAATCTGAATTTCCACCATAAAATAAAAGTGCTAATTAAAAAAATAATGCCATTTTTTTTAATGAGTATCATTTGCGGGAAAATATAATTAAAAATAGCTAGGGTTGAAGATGATAAAAGATAAGTAAAGGTGAAGAATCCTAATTTGAATTTTAATTATTAGAAAATTTCTTTTATTATATATTTCACTTGTTTTGAATGTGTGAGAATCATTCCCACTAACACATTATCTAAAAATTAATCTATTAACCCAATTCAATGGGAAGAAGCCAATTGCTTCCTTTTTCACATTTAATTGAAAAAAAATAAGATTTATTAAAAAAATCCAACAAAAAATAGAGACAGCCGAAGTTGTTTAACGTTAGTATTCCTAATTTGAGTATATATTTTTAGTCATAGTATTAGTATCCATGTATACATATAATTTAAATACACTATTGTTCAAATATAAAGTATTATGAAGGTTAAAATTATTCTTTTATAATTTTATTACCTTTTACATATGAGTATACTTTTTTCTATTAATAATTAACCAGAAGTAGTCAATAATACAATTTTTAAATTAACTATTATAAAATTAAATAATTTTAAAAGAATAAGTTCACAGCATAATAAATAACAATGTAAATACTATTTAGTTAAAAAGAATATGTGTAATATCATATATACATTCTATTTCCTTAAAACAACATATACAATGTATTACTAATTTTTATTTCTGTCCAAACCACTGTATAAAAGTGATTTTCCCATTTTACAAACTCTGATTGCTTCACTCCAAATTCCTTTAAAGAATAAATTAACCTAATGTGGTGTGGTGTCTCTTGCTTTTAATTTCTTCAACAATCACTTAATAAAAAGGGTTTTTTTCTGCTGAAGGTTTAAGCTTTGTTCTTGTGAGTCTCGCCAGCAGCCATCATTTATTCTCTCACCAAACCACCCTCCAGATCCAGGTAAGAGGTACTTGCATGATCCCAACCCTCTTTCAAAAATCCGATCTTTCTTTTAAAAATTCATTTTTTTTTATTTGTATACTCCTCTTCTCATGGCTATGAATGATCTGCTGCTATGATCATGAATAAATGACGCGAAATTCGTTCATTTGATCTCCCAAAGTTTTTGCTTTCTTTGATTTTTCATCTTTTACAGATCAAATGGCTGCCATGGGTATGTTGTGTTTGTCTCCACTATCAGGTCAACAACAAGCACTTTCTTTCCCATCATTGCCATCTACATCGCCTAAACTTCAGAATCGTCCTCTGTATCTCACCAATTTACCTCATTTTCCTCAAAGGCTGAGGCCTTCCTTCGCCGGAGGGGACGGCGGAGATGGGGTCGGGCGTGGTGGAGGTGGCGGTGGTGGAGGCGGAGGTGACGACGGAGATTCCAAAGATTCTTCTTTTGGGATTTTGGGTCTCTTTCTGAACGGGTGGAGATCAAGGGTTGCGGCTGATCCACAATTTCCGTTCAAGGTTTTGATGGAGGAGCTGGTAGGTGTGAGTGCTTGTGTTTTAGGTGACATGGCTTCAAGGCCTAATTTTGGGTTGAATGAACTGGACTTTGTCTTTTCAACTTTGGTTGTTGGGGCTATTCTGAATTTCACTCTGATGTATCTGTTGGCACCTACCATGACATCAGCAGCATCCAGCGTACCTGGCATATTTGCCTCATGCCCCAAGAGTCACATGTTTGAGCCTGGTGCTTTTTCCCTTCTTGATAGGTTTGGAACCTTGGTTTACAAAGGTACCATTTTTGCTGTGGTTGGTTTTGGTGCTGGACTAGTTGGAACCACACTTTCCAATGGGTTGATCAGTATGAGAAAGAAGATGGATCCAACCTTTGAGACCCCTAACAAGGCCCCACCTACCCTTTTGAATGCTCTGACTTGGGCAGGGCACATGGGGGTTAGCAGCAACCTGAGGTATCAGACTCTGAATGGTGTTGAGTTCATGCTGGAGAGAGTGCTTAGCCCCTTGGCCTTCAAGTCCTCGGTGTTGGCTCTGAGGTGTGTGAACAATGTTCTTGGGGGCATGTCCTTTGTGGTGTTGGCAAGGCTAACTGGGGCACAGAGTGTTGGGGAGAAGAAGGAGAATGAGAATGAGGTTGCTTTGATTTCTGAGAAAGAGAAGGTGGAGTCGTCGGAGAGGGAAGAGGGGTTGCAGAATCAGTCGACAGAACCATCAAAGTGATGACATAACTCACTTTGTCTTTTACCTTAACTAGAGAGATGTTGGAGTTGGAGAAGGTAAGGTTTTTTGTTTGATGAAATTGCATGTAGGAGTTTGCTAAGGTATGTGATGAGAGTTGCGAAATAAGTGAAAAACAGGTATTTTGAGGAAGGAGATTAAGATTTTGAGACCAGTTTATGGCATTTGATGTTCTTGCATGTTGTTGAAACTGTCACCTGAAACAACAACAATAACATGCCAAAGTAGTCTTGGCCATGTATTGGGAATTCGGGACCCCCCTCCCTTTGAAAAACATAAACTAGGCCATGTAGATTTTTATTTCTTTTTCTTAGTGATCAATTAATAGATTTTTCTTGTCGTTTTTTTCAGTATCCATCCTTGTAAAAGTACCATAGATCTAGTTTGGGGCATTCGCTAAATAAAGCTAAGAGTATTATGATAAATAATCATATTGCATTCTTTGGATAGGATAAAGCTTCTGCAATCAAATAATAAATAAATTTGAAGAAGGTAGAATCCAACTTTCTTAAACTGAAATATATAGTTTTAGAAAGTTAATTACGGTTTTATGTGACAATGAATTAAGTATTTTTATAAAAATATTGTTATTTTTCTATTTTTAAAAAACTTGTAAAAATGTTTTTGATAATAACTTTGGTCTATCAAATATAATTTTATCATTTTCAGAAATCATAATTTCCAGTGATTTTTCTTGTTTTCATCTACGAAAAAGAAAATTCTATTACCTAAGTTTGGTATTTTAATTCTATTACCTAAGTTTGGTACTTTTTGCTTTAAATTCTCCAAGTCAGGATTTATTTTCTCATAATAATAATTTTCTAAATAAAATTTCTTTAAATAGATGTATTGGATTGGAACATTATTTTCTAAAATGGGGGAAGAAAAATAAAACATAAAAATAAAAAAAAAATTAAATTAAAATTATGTAAAGGTAACTTAAAATAACTAATTAAAAATGTTAGGTATATATTTTAATTACTTCAAGATAATGAATAAAATAAAAAATATTTTATGATTTTTAATATAATTTGAAATTAAATTTGTTATTATTTATTTTTTGAAAAATAAAAATATTATAATTAAAAATATTTATGATTGATAATAATGTTGTAAACTTTAAACTTATCTTTTATTTTACATTTATTTTTTTCTACCAATCATTACAATAATAAAAAAATTATTCCTAATATATTATAAAGTTAATATCTTCAAAACATTTTAGAAATAATTATATTTAACATTATTATAATAATAATAATAATAAAAAAAAAAAAATTTTAATAAAAAAAATTTTAATTTAAAAAAAAATAAAAAAAAAAAAATTAAATTTAAATTATACTAAAAAATCATAAATGATTTTTTGTTTGATACTTTCTCTTAAAATAATTATATTAAAAATTCAAATTTTTAATTATTTATTTTTAATTATTTTTTCATAATTTTGAATTTTTTATTTTTCCTCCCATTTTAGAGAAAAAATATCAAACAGATTCATTTGGAGAAATAATATTCTAATAGATCTATTTAGAAAAATAATGTTTCAATAAGTTTTTTTAAAGATTTTTTCTTTAAAAAAGGATTATTTCGAAAAATCTATAATTTTGTCTGGCACTTTTATATATACGTTTATATTTTATTTTTATATTTAAGTTAATTAAATTATTTATTGATGATACCTTAATGAATAGGTGCTAGTTTCAATTGGACCAAAATAAAAGAAATAAAATTTATAGTGTAAAAAATACATCTTTTCGTATTTTAGAAGTTCTATCTCTGTTTTTATTTACAAGTAAAAAAAAAATCACATTTTCTTGCTTTCAGAGATAAGCAAATTTTAACAATTATTACTTTTAACAATTACATTTGACCTTTTTATTACATTATCATAATATGTATTTTTGGTTCGGAGATAAGTAAATTTTGATATAATTAACTTATTTTGTTAATCTTCATTAACTTCAAAAGTTAGGTTTTTAAAATTAAAAATTATAAATGAAAACGGAGAAAACGAGCACCACTTTATATTGTTATTGAAAATGTGCACATTGAACCTCCATGCCTTCACATTACACCATCTCTAACTAAGCTTCAAGACACCAATTTTTTCATCATTTCACTGAAATGATAAAATCACCAAAAGCTACTTGTTTTCATCACTTGCCTATTCTTAACTTTTAAACAAATTAAGAATAAAAGCAATTGAGTTGATTTGAACCTCAAAATACCTCAAATATTATCACATACCGTTTTCAAAACTTAACGACTTGTTAAGGAAATTGAGATTGAGAAAAATGCTTATGTCATTGTAAGTCTCTTATTTGTGTTTATGTCTTAAATACAAAAACAAAGTACAACAGTGGTAAATAACTTAAAAGGTCAATACCATTGTAAAGTATAGTTTATATTTTGTACAGAACTAATCGAAATTTAAAATAAATAACAACTGTTTCAGTTCTCAATGGTTTTACATGGTTTGGCAAATATAGATCATGTGTAAAAACTGCCTATACAAGTAAACACTAAAACATGACACGGATATGTTCTATGCGAAAACATTGGTCACTAGTAAATCTGCCTTGCCTTTCCCTCTTAGGGAATTTCCAAATTTGAAATTGCTCTTTCTAGTTTCTTTATCAAGGGTCTCTTCAAATGTTTTGGGATATGAATTTCAGAAATGTATACAGCTGTTAGAAGAACAGTAACAATAGATGATGCAGGAAAGGCAGCATAAGACTCTTTATCTGACAGCCTCTGGTGCAGAATTGCAGTAAGGTGTATGTAAGCAAACCAACCTAGTGAATGTTAGACATAAAGTAGCAAACCCAATACCCATAATGAGGCCGCAGGTGCTCTTCCTCTTATCCAAACTTAGAGCTCTCTTTACTACATTTCCAAAGCTTGGGATTAATCCACCACAGGCAATAACCATTATGTGATCAAGGCCACTGTAGTCAATACCAGTAAGAATAGCTCCTATTGCTGATATTGGACCCATAAATCCAATTATGGCAGCTGTTGCAAGGGAGCCATGCCAGCTATCAGTGACTCCAAATATGCAGCTGGCCACAGCTGCACCTCGAGGAAGCCCATGTAGAGAGACTGGAAGGACCATGTGACGACCAAGTCCATATGCTTTTGGTGCAGCCACTCCCAATGCAAGTCCTTCAGCTAAGGCATGAATGGCTACTGCACCACATGATATAAATGATTGAAGGGTGTGAACACTGAGTGGGAAACCAGTAAGTGTAGGCAAGTCATTGACTGAGGCCTTTTTGGAAGTTGCCATCTTCAATACACCAGAAGTAGAAACATGGATGAAAGCAGCACCCATTGCGAGGAGTAGCAAAATAGGAAAGAATCCCAATTTTGAAGACAAAATAAGTTGTATTGGTCGCCAAGCACCAAGAACAAAAGCAATACCACATGCGATGCCCATGAGGAGAGCATGCTGAAGACGCAATGAAAGAGCAAATACAACAAGAATGATTCCTCCAAGTAAAGGGCCAAGACCAAAAAGTAACGAAACAAAAAAGCCAGAAGCATCCTCAGCGCTGTAACAAAGAAATCAAAATTTAGGGAAAAGAAAACTGTAACAGAAAACTGTAACATTCTGCATATTTCCACATTGTGCAATTTAGCAACAGATCATGGATGATTAATACTATTTCATTTTCATCCTTGCAACAAACCCAAATAATGAAATATACCTGACAACTAAAAAGAAATCTAATACAAACTCACTTGTAGTCATGGCTGAAGTTCTGAAAGAAGGTGCTGAGAGCTTCCATAAATGCTACAGAAAGGGTTGCAGATGATGCAACCTGTGAAGCTGAGGCTTCCTATAATCCAAAAGGAGGAGAAATAAATGTTATATATATAAAAACAATTTTTCTCATAAGAAAAAACATAATTGAACAAAAATTAACGACTCTTCCGTTAGTATTTATATATGGTGTTCTCTTTGTTTGGACTGAAGCCTTTTCCCCGACCAATTTCTAGTGCTAGCTTTTATAGACTCGAACAGAGTGTTTAATGGTAATTTATTTGGTCTAATCCTTCCCTATGTTGCCTCAACAACTACGTTTAGTGGAGACATTATATCTCTGGTTCTTTTTTTCCTTTTGAAGGGTTTATTTGTAACAAGGTTATAGCCTAAAGGTTAATAAAATTCAGCATGTGGAGAATGTAAGAATAACTACTGCATGCAGTTTGGGTATTACACATGCTTTAAGTAATCATAGGAATTAGTGTTTAGGAGCAATCACATATCCTTGGCTAGTAAATTATATCATAAAGATTGTGTAATGCTGAACATCTTTTCACTCAAGTCATTCCTATTATGGATTGTTAGAGATTAATAACCATTCATCAGCCTTCGCCTAATAGCTTAAGTTTTGGGAGTGGATCCATGATTAGAAAAGCCAAAAAATCGAAATAAATAGCCAAAAAAAATTAATCTTCAGAATGATACAGAAGAAAATATCAAATCTTTGGCATAATTGGGAAATAACCTTGAAAGCATCAGGAAGCACTTCCGCAATAACCATCCAAATCATACATCCAGCAGCAAATCCCGTACAAAAAGGAAGAAACTTACTGAATGCATCAGCACAAATAAATGAAGGAACCGCTACAATGGGCTGCATTAACATAAAGAATAAGATCTTATGATGACAAGGTTAAAGACAGCAATTGCAACCTTAAATCTATAGTTGTCCAAAGAATTGTTATTGTTCAATATTCTAACTTTTCTACAGCCGAGTTCAGCAAAGAAAACATACTAGGATGGCAGAAGTAGAAGTGTGTAGCTAGTATGCAACACAGGCTCAGTTAGTCTACACTAGCCTAAGGCCCACCAGCATTGCAACTTGGCACCATGGCAAAAGCAATTTCACAAGGGATGTGATTTAATTACGTATAACAATAATTTATTGTTTATGTGATAGTACAAAGATGGAGTAGTCTTTGCACAATTGCATAAACAAAAAAAAAAAGTAAAAAATAAAAAATTCAAAGATGGAGTAGTCCTCTGAAGTTGAATGACATAACCAATCAGTGGTGAAAAGCACTACTAACTGTTCTGGCCTAATCATGCAATGCAACATATTACACCTCACTTGAGTCAGACTAAATGCGTATCAAAACAGAGTTTTGTTACCGAGACCCATCCAATCACAACTTTAAAGAATAATGTGAGCAAGGGGTTGACTACAACGAGCAGAAGGGATTGCAAAACTATATTATGTAACTCATAAAAGTTTTCAAAGTGACACGCTAACTAAATTCATAATAATTTATTTCTTCTCGGTCAATTTAAGATAATTAAAATCTCAAACTAAGAACTACCTGGGGTAAAGATGTAATTATGCTCCATAACATAGCGTTTTGTGGAGAGACACCCCTTGATGCAAGCACCATGCTC